CCCGTCTCTCTCTCACTCCCAGTCGTACTCCGAACTGGAAACATCCGAGTATCCCTTCTGCTCCCGTTTGGCTTTCTTCACGTCTTTGACCGCGAACACACTGTACGCAATCACGGCAGGCACACCCATAACCACACTGGCGATCACAAACATGGAGGTGTGACTCCATTCTGGCTGCCAACTGATCTCATCTTCCGCGTAGTCATAACGGAACACTGTCCAGAAACCTGAAAGGGGAGGGAAAGGGAGGGATGGATGGAGGGGGGATTGAGGGAAGGTACAACAGCACGTTATGATAATGTCAATCATCACCATCCATCGTCGGTGTCGATGAGTGTAGAAAAACAAACAAACAAACAAACATGCTAATAAATAAAGTAGATAGAGACTATCATCATAATCATCATCTTCATCTTAATCATCATCGTCATCATCGTCATCTTAATCATCATCGTCATCATCATCACCATCATCATCATCAGCAGCAGCAGCAGCAGCAGCAGCTGCAGCAGAACCATCGTCATCATCATCATTGAAAAAAAAAAAACTAACAAAAAAATAAATACACATACAAACAAACAAAACAGATAGGGACTCTCATCATCATCATCATTAACACAAGTGAGAGGAAATGAAGCTTTTGAAAGAATGACAAACTTACTTTTAAAAGCAATATTTTCCCAGCTGTAAACTTTTCAAAATCTGTAGAAACCACCAACTGGGATTTTTTAATCTGTATTTATAAAGGAATTTTCTAGAATATAGCTAACAATTGTTTAAAAAATATTGATCTGTTAAGACAGATTAATACAAGTCACTTTGCAAAAGCTGGAGAGTCTATGTTTGATAGTTGAAGAAATATTTGGTGGCTTTTAAGAACAAGGGGGCTACCCCGAATAATGTTGTTTAGAGAAAATCGAAGCTAAAGTTTTTGGACCCTTGTTCAGTTTCTTTAAAAGACAAGGAGAGTTTTCTCTATAACCAAACAAATATGCACACCAATGAAACCAAACTTCTCCTATAGGTAGGACAATGCCCACTTTTAGTGTAGGTCGAGATTTCTGGAAACTCCCGAAATCTGGGTCAGCCCGTTTGTCCTTAGAAGTGACCATTTGACAATAAGTCGCGCCACGTATATTTGACCGCCATATAT